ACAGTTCAGGGAGGGTCCGAAAATTTCAATGCCACTACTACTGAGGGATACACGAGCCCTAGTGAAGAACATATGCAGTGGAAATAATAAACGAACTTACCTCAGAAACTCAAAAAACAGGGTGGAAAGTCCCTCAAACATGGGTGTTCTTGGGGATTTCCCCAATCCCGCCCCCTTGCCGGCCGTCATTGGACGCGTCGGCAATCGTGCTCGTTTTGGGACCACAGGGAAAATTGATTGAAAAATGGAGCGCGTTTACAGCGGGCACGTTCAGACAACTCGTCCAACGTGCGTCTTTATCCATTGCTGAGCGGCAGAGGGAGAGTACCTGTCTAAGACCCTCCCCGACGTTTTTTCCAGTTTTTCATACATTAATCGTCTGGTTTTCATCTACAACTTCATTATTGGTGGTTTTTTCCCGCGAAACCGTTCCTGAACTGTTGCTTTAAAAATCCTCGCCCTGGTTTAAGAGAATCGTGCAGTGCGCAAACATTCCAAGGAACAAAAGAAAAAATAAAAGACGAAAACAAAAAATAAGAAAAGGAAAAAGAAAAAATTGCCTGAACCTAACGATAGTAAATAATAATACATATGAAGAAAAAATATTATTACAAGGTTTGACTTAGAGAGCTGGTACTATATAAAAGCTGGGATAATCATGAGCGAGGACGCTTCTTTTGAAGCGCAGGCATCAGAGCAGATTTATTTATTTATTTATTTATGCGCACAATGACGCTTCTGCAGCTATAATAGGTGAAGCGGGACTGACTGCATAACTCTGAAAACAGAAAAAATTATACATAAACTGGTAACTATAATGGACAGCTATTAAAACAGTCGCAAGTAAAAAAAAAAACTATGAAAAAAGAAAGATGAAATAAACAGTAAAGGAAGGACTACTGAGTGAGGAAAAGAAGAGAAGAAGTTGTTCAAGCAAGCTGCTTCCCTCGGCGAACGGGACAAGGAAGGGCCTCACTTAAATCGTATGCTCACGCAAATGAAGTCACACGAAGCTATGAAAACCTAAGCCAGAAGTCTTTGGGATTAGCATTGCAGTTTAAGTCAGCACCAGTCGGCCATGGTGCCCTTGCGCCACTTGAGGGGTCATGGGAGTTTACCCGGAACTTCGAGACACGGGTATGCCGACCACCCACGTGGAACCGGCAAACTTGACAGAATCCGCGACGCATCCTCCCAAATTCTTAGGCTAGAGTAGTCATAGCCGCGTTTTAGTGTTTTTTTCTATTTCTATTTCTATCAATTCTCATCACCGTCGAAGATATTTATTTTTGAAGGGCTGGTTCTTTCGTGGGTGTGACCCCAGCCAACCACTTCGCCGTCTAAAAATAACGCCGTATCAAAATCTGGGTGGATTCGCTTGATTAGCCTAATGACCCAATTGGACAGTGATTCATCGAAGTTTGGCGGACATTTGCGATTTCCTTCTCTCTGCGATACATTTCGAAGAGTATTCAGAAATATGTATTATATTTAGATGGAAGCAGTTTACTATGTAACTGGTACAGAATTGACTGCTTTCGCACAATTTTTTATTGGAATTTTGGGCCAGCTATTCGGCAAAGTTTCCAGTGCAGCAGCGAAAAGTGCTGTATTTCGAAAAATCGATTGGTACGAGGATCAACATATCTGAACCATCTCAGATATGCAGACGATGTAGTGATTATCGCACACGAAAGCCAGAAACTTAAACGTATGTTACAAGAAGTTTACGAGAAAAGTCAAACCGTGGGGCTCAAAATCAACTTCACAAAAACTACTATTATGACCAATTCTGTGATTCAACCCATTACCATCGATGGACACGATGTTCAATACTTGTACCAATTTTATTTACCTTGGACAGAGAGTTTCCTTCGATGCGAACAACACAGTAGAAATACAAAGAAGGATCCAAGCAGGATGGAACGCATTCAATCGCCTCAGCTCTTTCCTCACTAATGAAGGGTCCCAATGAGGTTCAAACATCGCGTCGACGAATCGCATAGTAATGCTAGTCACAAAGGCCTCGTTTTCTTTTTACGTACCTAGTCATTCTACAATCGACTCTATGCGTGTGGATCCTGAGAGCAGATGAGACTTTGTGGTGAGTATGTAAGACTTTTCCGAGCATATGTGTCAGGCTGAGAAAGAAGATGACGAAGGATTTGTTGCAGTTGAGTCAAGCCTATAACGGAAGTATATTGATTTGCGTACGGTGATGATAGGTATACGCTAGCAGACCCTTTTAGATCAATCGTACCAATGTTTGGTTAGAGAATATTACCAAAATCCCAGGTATAGCAGCGCGAGCAGTCAGAAGAAAAATGGATGTGGGCGAGAAAAATGTTAGTGAAAGAAGATAATAGATGGACGAAGATAATCACCGAATGGCGACCATGGAAATGGAAACGATCAAATGGCCGGCCGAGATTGAGATGGCGAGACCCCTTCGTGTCATTCCTTGGAGAAACTTGGAGAAGAGCAGCTACAGACGACCCTATTTTATGGAGAAGAAGCATGCAACGACACATTGAAACAATGTGATCCCGTTTGAATAAATAAATAAATAAATAAAAACAATCGAATATAGATGCAAGACTTTGAAAGAAGATTAAAAGGAGGATGGAACGCTTCGGTGCCTACCTGACCTTTCAACAGCCACACTCAGAGCGACGTAGGAGAGAAGCATAAACCGACTACTGGCTGCCAGCGCTGCCTAGTGAAGTTTCCATGCCTTATGAATTCACATTGCGGCATAACGAAAACCTTTATCGGAAGTGGTTTCATTCAAAAGGCGTACCGCTCCAAAGGCTTGCGAAGAAGTGGAGTGTCAGTCAGGTACCGGCGCCCAAACTCGCCTCAAACGATGTTCAGTCCACCAAGCACTACAAGCTTGAATGTGTTTCATGTTCAACAGGCTGGCGTATTGAAACCGTGTGGAAAGGGTTGAAATTCGTGCCTGCTAAGAGGCAAACAATAAGACTGGGTCATTGAGAGTGGAGGCTCAGCTCGAGAATCATAAAACTGTCCGCAAGCACAGGAAATAAACTGACTTCGTCGCGAACTCGGACGAGCATGGGATAAGAAGTTGATGGGCTCGAGACCGTGTTAACGCTCGCTCGTATCCATGCACTCTTATCTTCGATTCTCCTTTCCACTTTCGCTAAGTCTGCTATTAACTACTCTGTCCACTCCATACTCTCGCACAGCGCAGATCTTCCCCATTAAAATACTCTTCCCAAAAATATGAGAAAATGTTGCTCTGACCAGGAAGGTCTTTCAGGGCGTGCCAAGCTTTTTGAAAACGGTCTTTTGCATGATATAGGGGCACATGCGGGAACCACAGAACCATGGTTAATTTTTCCTGAACGGCCCTCTGAATACCAGAAAAGGGGGTCCCTAGTTCGATTCCTCGTGGTGACAAATTTTTGCATTTCGAGTTGACTCTTCAAAAATCTCGTAACCGCACGCAATCGACCGTTTTGAAAAAGCTTGGCAACCCCTGAAGAAAGTTCCTGGTGATCCGCGGCATATCTGTATTAGCTTCTTGAAGGTATGTATTTAGGAAGATTCTTTTTAGGCCAACGTTTTGGCGACAATCGGAGTTGTAAACTCGGATAACGTCATTGAAAAGCAATTCAACCAAGTGCCATCTCAAAGGCACCCCACAATATCGAACTGATGTCGTTCGTGCACACAAAAACGAAAGCACTGGTGTGAAGTGGGCACATCGAAAATGGAAACGATCCCTCAAAAGCGCTAGAAATTAGCTGAGACTGGAATAGAGGAGAGGGAGCGCAGCGAATGAGAGACCGCAGACACCAACATGCTCTGGACGAGAAAAAATGGAAGCCGTCGAAGCGGTTCTGCAAAGCCGTAGCACCGTTTATGCACACTTTAGAGTCAAAAGGACGAGAGATCTGTGACTTTAGTGAACATCCCTACCTTACCCTCCAAAAGGAGTCATACATCTGCACTGGTCAATGGTCCCGTCGAATCTGCCACCATTCAATTCCATATATCCCGCTCCTAAAATTTTTTCGAAATTGGCGTTGGGCAAGGATGGGGAAGGCACATATCCCCGTGCACATCAATTTTGGGGGAATATTCAGGAAAAATTCGGGTGTGCGAAGGTGATGGAGTGAGGGTTAACACACCCAAAATACCACATGTATCCGGCCGTTCGGGATTGTCTTCTTCACCAGCGCGACCTCCCTGTATTAGTCCCAAATAAGACCCTCATCAAAACACATCAAGACCCCGCACACCAATCGGGCGTAACGCATTGCTGACCCTGGTTTCACTTGTCGCTGGCACGGTCCATAGGATCGAATTCGACGTGAATCAAACAAATGTTTCATTCAATCGCAATGTTTTGATTGGTGCCAGCTTGCTCAGAAAAGGAGCATCGACTTATGTATCGTTCCGCCCCCCCCCCTTCCCCCATATCATGGGAAAGGACAAATAGGTATCAAGGTTCAGTGAGTAGCCGCGAAGAAAACGTTCCTCCGTATTGCAGCGGAAAACCCGATGGTGAGAGGTGTGAATACTTCCGCTTCGTCTCCTCTCGGCCTTTTCCAGGTCATCCCTCATCGAATTGCTCAACGATCAGTCCAACGATCCGTTAGGTTTTCTCGATTCGATCTCTTGATATCTATGCCTTTTCTTCGCTGTTCGTCGAGGTGTCTGTGGTGACGATCTGTGTGTAATTGAGAGGGCTAACACGACTCCGTCGCTAAAGCGCTCAATTAACTCGATTTGAGGTCACCTGCGCCTCGGCTTATCCTTGGAGATTGTTCCGTCCAGGTTACCACGATCTGCCTCGTGTTCTCAGTGCCTTTTTGAGCTCGCCGTCGTCTTCGCATGAAACAAGTTACCGGCTATTCGTCACTTCAAGTGGTTGCATGATCGCTGTAGTCGGCAGGGAGTTGCCTGTTGTCGTCCGTTCACTAATTGTCACACATCCACAGTCTAATGCTAGACATCGCCAGACGCTTTCCGCTCTCTTTCTTACCACCCGTCATCGGCACTCTGTGATCCAGGCCATGAAAACCACGCGGTTACTCGGATAGAAAGGGAATTCGTCACATTGACTCGCGTTCATCATGATCCCACCTACTGTTAAACCCAAGCAAATGCCTGTTGGGCGCTATCGCAAGATACAGGGACATCCTTTAGAACTAAGCCTGGGGATGGGCAGGAACTTCGAGAAACATGGAAATTGCTCACCCATCCTGGACTCTCCCCCTCTTCAACGAAAATAGAGATGTTTTACGTGGCTCTGAGTTACCGTAACAATGCCTCCGTATTTTGCGATAGCGCCGCTTGTTGTTCTATTCTGATTTGTTGGTCCAGCGCTAGAGTGACCAAAGGTTTATCCCTAGACGAATCTGTCGTGTTGTTCCTGATTGTTCGATCATCAATCACACTCTCATCGCTCGTTTCTGTGCGAAGAGGCGAAAACCGAGGATTGCTTTGATATTGGCGACAATTCCGTAAAAAAGCCGATTATGCAATTCGATATCGCAATAGTGCAGGGTTTCACCTTTCGTATTTTCATAATCTTCGGTTCGTTTGTGCTGCACGTTCGGTGGTAGAAGTATTTCTTTGCTTTGATGTTTTTGTTTTGTTTTAATGTTTGTGCGAGCGCATTGTTCTGTGCATCATTTTAAGTGAACCTTTATATTACGAACACTTTTGAAAAAAAGTAAGGTCCTAGTGGAGCGTGGAGGGTCGCGTAAGGTTAATGGCACCGTTGATTAGTCTGCGAATCTACGGGACCACGACTTTATCAGCTCTATGTTAGTTGTTCGGCTCAAATCCCAATCACGCAGCGCTGATAGATTAGGCTGCCGACAGCAGCATATTGCATGCTAAGAAGCCCGTGAGTACCTGAATTGCCTGTATTCCATAATGAATTCTGAACGGATTGGCGACCTTTCTGAAGGAGTTCAAATTTAATCATAATTCTCTCTATATTACGTGTGTTGTTTATAGGACTTTTTTGTTTGGTTGCTGCTTTTTGGCCCATCTCCTTTGACTAAATTCGAGCGGGTGATAAAGCTTGGGGGATAAGTATATCATGAAAAGCCTGAGTTGGTAATGAAACGATCCCACTTGGTTTACGAATAAGCAAAGGTGCGGGTTCGTAAGTCCTGTCGGGCGGGAGTTGTTCAATTACCCAGCATTCTTGCTGTAGTATTGTGTATTGATGTACATTATTTATTTATATGGTGGCCATGTTTTAATAGATCGTCAGAGATGGAGCAAGATGCTAGTGACAACGGTTCGTATGTTTGAGGAGGAGGAAAGGGAAAGAGGGGGGATGGGGGATCGAATCTCATATCAAGTTCCATCAGGCAGACCGCGCTTGCACACACCTTTGCGTTTTATTAGCGGGTATCCTACTTGTCTGGAGAAAAAAAGCTGTCTCTAGATCGAATGACCTCATGCCCTAGTATTGCATGTCAAACGCACCCAAATGTCATTATGAATCTGGCCGGAAGCCAAGTGCGTGGCTCATTTTGAGGACGGACTGGTTAGAATGTTTTCTTCATTGTACACCAGCCAAAATTCTAAAGGATCAAACAATGTTGACTTTTCGTAGGCCTGGCTAGCCTCTTTGGTGACGCAGTTTACCTTAGAAGGCAGCTCATTAGAATCAAAGTTAGAGGTGATCAGTGGTGCCGGATGAAGAAAAACTGTGAGAAACGGTTTTGAACCCGAGAAAATTGGCCACCATTCCCTGCAGTTGATCTCCGTATTGATGCGCTCAAGGGCTAACGTTCTCTTTGATTAAAGATAAGGACCTACTGCGAGTGAGAGTACCCGATTGGATGGGTACTGCGCGTAGCGCGCGCCGTAAGGCAGTGTTAGGGTCGCGATGCGGCGAATGCGTGTCGCGTCGGCCCGTTTTGCCAGTAGGTGATTTTCCCTTACGTGATTTCGACTGATCGTGGAATCCTCCTTCAAGCAACTAGTCAAACGTTACCCTACCCGGCCAGCGCTATTCGGTGCATACGCCATCGGATTGGCTTAACCACTCACGAAGGTTGAGCAGTCTAAGCCAGATGAGACAGTTAAACAGCGAGCACGATGAGAGTCGTATCAATACGGACATCAACGGGCAGGTGATGGGTACCATTTCTTGGGTTGAAGCCATTCGTCATGATCGTTTTTCAACCAGTACCCCTGACCTTCCCTACCTTAATTGTAGTGGGCCGCTTGCTGATCGTAGACTCCGCCTTCAAGAATGGAAAACTGTTATCTGTCACATGAAGTGCGTTTTCGACGCTGTGATGCTTTCCTGAACTCCTTTCGATTCCCCAGTAGATCAGCAAGGTGTACTACTCGTGTCATTGAGCCATGAATGCTTTGAAAGTTTAATCGTCCTTCCACAAGGGCGCTGAAGTTCCACAGTCCACTTTCATATGCGGATTCTGCCTATGTCGAGAGATTTCACTAGCGAGAGAGAGTTCCACGACTCGAAAATTTTCTCGATTGCATGGTGTACCCCTTTCTTGAATGGTCCACA